CAAACGAGGTTAATAAGATATTTATTATATGGCAAGGCATTGAGATCAAAAAGAGGCGAAGGAACAAAAAGTAAAGTTGACAGCGCATGTCTAACGAGAACTGCATTGGAAGGGCTTCCCGTACGTGCCAAAAGTCATGTAGTGTTTGAGTCGCTCAAAAGGCGAAGTTTTAGTTTACTTTGAAAGAATTTAGCTAAAGTTTAAAGTTTTCTGAAATACTAGTTAATAAAAGTGAGGCTTTATTTTGCAAAACATATAAATGCAAAGCAAAAAAGGCATCAAAAGAAGACCTCAAGAACTCAACATGAGATTGAGAAGAAAACTGTCGTACTTCAAACTTCAAGATATTCACAACCAAGATGAAAAATATTACAGCCTTCCGCTTGTTTTCCTGCCTTTTATTGAGAAAAAACTCAAAAACTGTCTCCAGAAATGAATGAGAAGCTTTGGAAAATTACGGCTGGCTGAACATGGATAGTTTTCGTCAATTTTCAACGTTTTGACTGTTTGAACCAGGCCGCCATATGTACAATGGCTGAAGTCATGAAGAAGGCACACTTTCGACTCAATTGAAAAAGGTACTGCCAACTCTCCTGTCTAAAAATACATTCAAATTCAAGTGGGGGTGAAATATTACTGAAATATGGACATACTTYAAGAGCGGATGAGCCTAGAAAACTGCTTAAAACGTTTACGAAAGAAACTACTGGCTTCTTCACCCGATCGATTCAGATAAGTTCAAACTGGACGTTGTTAGCTCACTGAAATAACAAATTTACCTTAATTCTACGGTAAACCTATCTTTATTTCATTTACTGAATTAGCCTTTGTTCACCATCCTCTAGTTCGTAGTTTGACATAGTTTTAGCTTTAGCATAGTTAGCTTTTCTAGTTTTTTCTAGTCGTACAAAATCGCTCAGCTAGTGCCGTGTAAAGCCTTGATCGAAAGAGTTTCGCTCGTATGAAAGAGTTGTCGATTGTTTGATAAGTTTTACATTAAATGCCAGTGACTTTCAGTTATCTTTAATTATCTATTGAAGGTTTTCCGACGATTTTCATCCAGAAATATATTTTTTTGATAAAGATTTGAATGTTTTAAAAGATCATAACTACGTACACTCAGTGAACCATTTCATTTTTCGATCCGTACCGTAAGTTATGGACCGCAAATTGACCAATCATAGCGCGTGAAATTACCTTGCCATATAATATATATATATATATATATATTGAATTCCTAAATGTTGAATTCATTGGAATCCTTCTTCTACTGGAATTCATCTTTGGTCTACCGTCCAGATATTCAAGTATATTTACATATCTATATACCAGCCCTTACCACCGACACAGAACCCTTTCTGTCCATCGCGATCGTAGTTATCAGTTAAACTGCACCATGGTTTCACTCCGTCGACCCCGATACAATACGAGTAACACTTGTCTTTATAAATGAACGGAAATGAACAGCAATCGCCTTGTGTTGTACGCATCTTACAGTTTACTGTACAAATAAGACACGGTCAGGTACATTAAAAGACTTTCTTCTTAGAGAATGCATATAAGGGGAAAAAATGAAATATTAGAAGAAAAATTCTAAAAATAATAACGGTCGCGGCAAGGCAAGCGTATGGCACTGGTATAAGAAATGATTTTAAAGGGTCAATAACAAACAGTATTATTTTATATTTACTATTCATTGAAGTTGCATTCTGGCAGCTGTCTCTTGAAAGTACGATGTCATCTACAGCTACCACAAGCTTGATGTCTTGGACTTGTCTATTGGTCTCGAACGATAGCTAAGAAGAATTTTGAAAAAGGATTATATATAATATAATGAGTAAACTTTAAAATATTAAATATAATCTTAATATATATATATTGTTTTAATATATATATATATATATATATATACACACACACACACATATAATCAATCAAATTCATGCTTTCGAACAGAGTTTTTTGTTTACTTCCGATAAAAATAAAAATTAGGAATAAGAAACATGCCTTTTTGAGGCAAGTCTTTGAACGCATGCGCTTTCATACCGGAAGTCCTAGAAATCCTGGTCTCAAAAAATGGGTTAAACCAGAACCCTCGTTGTTGGCCGCAGGCGAGAAGAAACGCAGGCTCTTGGTGGGAGACATAATCTCGAGATGGAATTGATCGCAGTCGTCGCAGTCGCTGTCGGAATCAGCAACGAAGTGTGAGCCAGAAAATGTAGCTTTCGGAATCGGAATCAAAAGGGACTCAAAATAGAAATGGGAAAAATATGGGAAGGTGTTTCCTTTGCTTGGTTTACGCTTATGCTTATGCTTAGCGGTTTTCTCTTGTGATTTTTGGCATCAACTGCTTCCGATTTCAATTTCGAATCCGACTCCGATTCCGTCAAAAATGAAAATCAGTCTTCAGGAAAGCCAAAGGCTGCAGGCACATAGTTTTTTAAGGAAAGGAAATCAGTAAATTTTCTATTAAGTGGCCATACGATCAAGCAGACAACCTCCATTTACTGGCCAGTTGTCAAAGTTCCAAATGATTGAGTTTTTATGATACATGGTTTAGTCTAGTTCAAACGTTGAACTCTAAACATGAGCCGAACCTTATGACATAAAGTAAAACTGAAAATAAGACTAAAATACGTTATCGAGTAGTGTTTTTAATGCTTACGACTCATGTGAAGTTCGACGGTTTACCGAATAGCCTTAGTCTTTAAAGTTAACACACCTTATATTCGTGCTTTGTCTGGAGAGGTATTTGCATGAAACTCCAAGATTTTGTGAGTTTATTATCGAACCACAATGTTTTGCGGCTAAGGTCCGAGATTTTGATAGAGTACAGCTGTATGATGGTAGATGTACTATTGATCAAAAACCAGAATCGCAGACATTTGAAGCCTTCTTGGGGATCTATCACTGGACTCTCCATCTTTGGCGTAACTTCGACGTATTTTGGATTCGTGCGAGCAATTCCGACACCTTAGAGTATTCAATATAGAGGGAAAAGTTCAATATTAGAAGGTATACACCTTTATATAGTTTTTTGTTTGTTTGTTTGATCGATTGTTTGTTTGTTTGTTTGTTTGTTGTTGTTGTTTTGTTTTTGTTTTTTTGTTTTTGTTTTTTTGTTTTTGTTTTTTTTGTTTTGTTTTTGTTTGTTTGTTTGTTTTTGTTTGTTTTTTAATGTCATGTTTTTAACATTAACATTTACCACTATAAGTATAAGCAAAAAAACATCGATTAAGTGCGGCGCTTTGTGATAAGGTGCAAAGAGAACAATTACAGTCAAGAAAAAAAAGCATTCCAACTTCATCAATACCCTAAAACGGCCTCTGGCCTGATTAAAGTCAGGGCACGGCTAGTTCAAAGATCCAACTCGTCAGCTTTTAGAGGTTTTGTGGAGGACGAGAAACGAGAGAACCCGGGAACCCGGAGAAAAGCCCTCGAAGCTAGGTGGAGAAACTTAACCAATTATACTTATATATGATGCCTTGTCTTGAAAACGAACTCTAGTCCCCAGAGGTGAGACCATCTGCTATGTCTCGAATTCACTTTAATGTTTTATGTTACAACACTTTTCCGAAATACCATTTCCTTACTTTGCTTGTCTCTTACGGGGACATCAGAACTTTTTGAATCTGCATTTTGCAAAACCCATCCAGTGTTGTTTTTCCAGTTACAAAAGTCACGATCAAAGTTACAACTACCTATGGGAAGTAATGAAATAGTGAGCATGAAAAATGAGTAATTATCATCCATAGATTGTATATAGCGAGAAAACAGACAAGTATTATAGCCAACAAAAATTAACAGCGTGATCAAAAACACTGCGCGGTGTCCAAACTCCAATTTCACATTACTTACTCGAACCAAAATTAGATAAATCGCATTTTCCTGTGATGAGATCCACATCGTCAATAGCAATATCACCCTCGTTACCATTACCAGCGGTTGCTTCAAATATAAACTACAAATAAAATATCAAAAACAAAAATGGTATTGTTATATGTGATGAGAATTTGTTGGGCCTCTCACACTTGATTCTCGAGTTTTTCGGGGTGTGAATGAGGTTTAAAGTTCTTAACTGACAATTAAAATAAGTACAATTTGTCAGGGCGAGTTCAGGATAAATCGAGCCTTGTTACAAGCTGTCTACTCGTGACTTATCAAAAATATTAATACTGAATATACTGAACAAAATCACAAGATCATGTCGCAAATGGAATCAACTGAATTGTCCTTCACGACCGTTCCCTTACATTCTACTTGCACAGTCGGTATATAGTGTTTGTGAGTGAAATTTACAACTAGTTGAACCCGCCGAGACTCAGTTCGGTCATATCTATACTTTGCGAAAGATTTAACATTAGTAAAAGAGCTTGATCAGAGAGCACTTTTTACACCTAAACATGTGAGGTTAGTATCGATTCGTGTGGATTAAGCCAAGCTGGCAGGGCTTTGCTCAAAGTGATGGCAACGAGCAATAGGGTGATTGAGCAAGAACACAAGGACTCTAATAGCAAGCATTAGTGGCAGTGTAATACAAACGTAGCTTACGTGGAAATATGATGTTTACTATGACTGAAATTCCTACTTGCACATAATAACTAGCATTAAGAGTAGTAAGTAACAATAAATCAAATGATATCTGGATAAAGTACAAATGACAGAGAAATGTTACCACAACATTAATGCGCGAAGCTAAGGCTTCTTATTATCAAAAGCTCAACAAGAATCTCTTAGATCCTTTACTGTGTAAAAAGAAGTGGTGGTCTATAGTTAAATCACTTTATAATAACAAAATTCAAATGTCTATTTCTCCTATTCAAGAAAATACTTCTATTAATTCTTGCGCTAAACAAAAAGCAGCTGTTTTTAATGAATATTTTGTGGGCAAAGCAAATGTAACGGAGCCGGACAAAGATATTTTGACACGCTCCGTTTATTCAATTGATTCAAATCTATCGTCTTTCCAAACTTCTGTTACTGAAATTAAAAATCTAGTAGCTGTTTTAGATGTCTCAAAAGTTTGCGGTCATGACGGAATAGGAAACAGGATTATAAAAATGAGTGTTCCTGGTATTTTGAAACCGATTTCTTTAATATGAGTTTACAGCGAGGTGAATTCCCATCGGAATGGAAAGGATCGGATGTTATTCCTTTGTTCAAAAAGGGCGATCGACAAGACAAAACTAATTACCGTCCTGTTTCGCTTCTTCCTTCGCTTTCTAAATTACTCGAAAAAGTCGTTTTTATTCGGCTATATAATTTTCTTTTGGACATTAATTATCTAAGCCCATTTCAATCTGGTTTTCGTCCAGGTGATTCCACCGTAAATCAACTGCTTCTTATAGTTCATTTAATCTATCAAGCCTTGGAAAATGGAAAAGAAGTACGTATGGTTTTCTTAGATATAAGCAAAAATTTTGATCGTGTGTGGCATAAGGGCCTGATTCATAAATTAGAAGCATTAGGCTCTAGAGATCCACTTCTAAAATGGTTTCGTAGCTATCTATCGAACAGATGTCAACGTGTTGCTATTGAAGGACAAAGCTCTCACTCGTTACATATTAAGGCTGGTGTTCCGCAGGGCTCTGTGCTTGGCCCGTTGCTCTTTCTTATTTATATTAATGATATCACTAATTCTATATCAAATAAATACTTTTTGTATGCTGACGATACTTCCCTTTTAAACATAGTTGAAGATGTGTCTCAGTCTGCGTTAAGTTTAAGCGATCTTCGCAGTATTGTCAAATGGTCTGATGATAAATGGCAAGTTATAATGAATGCTAGTAAGACTAAATCTATAGTATTCTCTGTGAAACAAACAAAACCGTTCTATCCACCTTTATTCTTGAATAATGATTTCATTAAAGAAGTTGATAGTCGTATTCATCTTGGTTTGACTTTGACTTTCAATATGTCATGGCATGGATTAGAGCCTTTTTAACAAATCGCAAATAAAAGGTTTCAGTCAATGGAGTTCTCTCATCGTCAAGACCCGCTGTATCTGGAGTTCCCCAGGGCTCTATCTTGGGACCAGTACTATTTTTATTATTTATAAATGACATCTCTAACTCGATTCGATCTAATCTACGCCTGTATGCAGATGATTGTGTCCTATACAGAGAAGTATAGCCTCTCAGCAGGACTGCCAAATTCTCCAACAACACCTTCATCTTCTATCTCTCTGCTTATTGTACGTTAGTACGCCCTAAACTGGAGTATGCCGGTAGTGTATGAAACCCGCACACGGAGTGTAATATCGATAAAATAGAGATGGTCAAGCGACGTGCAGCAAGATTTGTCTATCACGACTACTCACGTTATAGTCATGTATCCACAATGATTAATGCTCTGGGATGGGAATCTTTGGAACAACGAAGACTGAACAACCAAGCGTGCATGTTCTACAAAATTTATAGTGGACTTGTTGGTATTACTCTGCCACCTGAAATAATTCCCGTTACAAGAGCTTCAAGGTACCCCATTTGTGCACCTTTTCAACAACTTATTACTTTGAACGATATATATATATATATATTCTTTCTATCCACGAACTATAAAAACCTGGAACAATATACCTCTATCTATAATTCCAGATTCATTAGATAAATTTAAGGCTATTTTTTCTAAAATGTAAAGGATTTAATGACTTAGATCTGGGAACTATATATATATATATATACACATATGTATTACATATTTATTATTCTTGTTTATTTTAATAGACCAGATGCGAGGCTCGCACCGATGTGGGGCTTAGTGTGTGAGCGAGGGGATCTGGCGTGATTCGTGACCTTAAATCACGCAGGTTCCTTTTGTTCGCGTGTTAACCTTTATAAAACTATGATAAGACCTGTTATGGAATATGCTKATTGTGTTTGGGATGGTTGTAGTGTTTTGTCATCGAATCTTTTAGAAACTCTTCAATATGAATCTGCTATTATAGTAACAGGAGCATTATATGGCGCGCCAAACTAGACAAAAATACTTCTTCAAGAAATATAAGACTAGTTGTGAGAAATATAAGACTTGTTGCCGAAATATATGACTTGTTGTCGGAAATACAAGACTTGTTGCCGAAATATATGACTTGTTGTTGAAATATATGACTTGTTGTTGAAATATATGACTTGTTGTTGAAATATATGACCTGTTGAAATATATGACTTGTTGTTGAAATATATGACTTGTTGTGGAAATATATGACTTGTTGTTGAAATATATGACTTGTTGTTGAAATATATGACTTGTTGTTGAAATATATGACTTGTTGTTGAAATATATGACTTGTTGCTGAAATATATGACTTGTTGCTGAAATATATGACTTGTTGTTGAAATATATGACTTGTTGTTGAAATATATGACTTCATTGGCGCCTGCATGCAGTCTTCGATCAGCGGCACTACAAATGGCGAGCCTGCGATAATGCGGGTTAGCGGGTACTCGAATATATGACTGGTTTTTTGCTCTTTGGTTCATCACCATCATCATGACTCCCATCATCACTGCTACCTGTGTCGTCATCAATTTCTATTTCCCCAGCCTTGTACCATCTTTTAAAGCCTCCGTCATGCAAAATATCTTTCTTAGCTCTTATGTAAACTGGCCCTTGCTTGGATAAATATTTCACAAGCTTACCAGTGAATGGACCACTGGGCACTGATATTATTTTGTTCCCAATGGCCCTGACAAACTCGTATCTGGGTTCTTGGATGCTGAGAAGGGCAGACTCGAATAGTTCATCAATTGTGTTTTTAACCTCTTCTTCAGACATATCATCTGATATTTGTATCGCACTTTTTGCATAGTCTTTTGAATACAACGATTCTCTAAATAGGCCTCGAGGTACTTCCTGTACTTTAGGACTTGGAAGCAGAAWGATGTCTTTTAGTACTGTCTTTCTTTCTTGAATCTTGGTTCCTGAATATTTCACTGCTTTCTTCTTCCCTTTTTTCACATCATATTTTGCTCTAGGATTAAAAGATCTCCCTGTACTAGTGGAAGYTATCRGCCGTTCAATGATCGTCTCGRAGGTCTGTCCCCTGACACTAGGATACAGGCCACGCAAAGCAGACTCTGTACTTTCTCTATCTGACTCTGGAGAAATTCTTTTTGGAACATCAGAATTACTTGTATTACTGTTYTTTTCAATAAGGGAATTTACTAYTTCCATAAGTTTGTTTACAATGGGTTCCGCCATGTTTTTGCGATGGCAAAGAAAGATAGCGAGAAAAGGCGGGAAAATCCTTATTAGTGCCAGTATCTCTTTTCCAATGTGGAATATCCGCTGGTCAAGATAGTGCAGGCTAAGWATTATATTTTCCCCCGACTGAAGTATCATATTTTGAGAGAAAAGTAAGTCGTATTTTCGGATTTCAAGTATTATTTTTAGAATGTTTAAATCAACGTTTATATATACCGTAAGAAGTATTATATATTTCGATCAATGTTTGACCATTCCATTAGAAGTAGTATATATTTTAAACAATGTTTATCTATGTGTAGGAAGTCTTACAAATTATACATGGAAGTATTTTTGTCTAGTTTGGCGCGCCATAGCATTAAAAGGAACTAGCAGGCAACTATTATTAAGCGAGCTTTGCTGGGAAGACTTAAAAATAAGAAGAACTATTCATAAATTAACTTTATTTTACAACATTGTGAATGGGTATTCACCATCTTATTTGAGAAGTCTATTACCTCCCAAAGTTTGTGAAATATCTAGTTTTTCTTTAAGAAAAGGTGATAATTATTATCTTTTTAGAGTCCGAACTGAAAGATTTAAAACTTCTTTCTTTCCATCGTCCGTTTTATCTTGGAATTCCTTAAACGAATCTCTTCGTAAATTAGATTCTTTTTCTTTGTTTAAAAGTAAAAT